AATATTGTATTTTTCTTCTTCTTTTTTATTTCTTAACTTGTGAAATTGAGGAATTTTAAGGAAGAAAGAAAGGAGATAAAAGGATATAGAACCCGTTGTGTAGTTGGACTTGGAGAGTTTTTAACCCTTTACTCACTCGAGGAGCAATGTTTTAATAATTTCCGAGGCTTGTTATGCAAATATTGCGAGAGTGTTGTTTTTTGGTCGGCCAAGTACTCAAGCATCAAATTGCGGTTCTCTTTGTTTAGACTTAAGACCTCCTGATATTGTATTCCTTGTTTCTTGAATGGATTTCTTTATTTACAAATAAAATAAAATAAAATACCATTAATATATATATATATATATTGTTTTTTCAATCATTGATTTATTAGGGATATTTTTATATTTTCTAAGCTAAACATATATTTTTTTTAGTCATTGGAGAATATATTGTAAGGGTTTAAACTTTAAACTTTATTAGGTTTAACCTAAGTGTATTTTTTTCCCCTTAAACATATATAGTCAAGGAAAGCATTAGCGTATATGCTAATTTTGAAATGTAAAGTAATAGATATAAACTGTTTTACTAACTATATATATAAACTAACAATTAAATTATCAACTATTTTAGATAATCAAATTAACCAAACCCAACTAAACAAAATTTAAGTGAGTGAATATCAATTTAATCTTACTTTTATTGTTTTGAGCAGAAAAAGAAAAAAGTGTATGTAACTCTAACAATCATTTGTGAAATATTACTACACAAGTACATAACAATTTTCTTTTAATTCTTTTTTAAATGGTTACAATTTTAGAATGAAAATTTAAAATTTAATATTTAAATTAAAATTACACCTACAACATGATTTATAATTATTGACTAACAAAAGCTAAGTGCAATAATTTTCTTTTAATTGAAAAGTATAAAAGTAAGCATTTTTTAATTAAAAAGGGGTAAAAAGAAAAGAAAAAGGAAAAAAATTAAGAAGGTAGGAGAGTTCGCCGTGTCTTGAAGTATCATCGTGCATGCAATTCTTTTTTGAAGTACCAAACCCTCTCTCTCTCTCCGTGCTCTGCAAATTGCATGGTCATGATTTCTTGCTCCTAACAACATCTCCGCCGCCGCGGATTCCACTCTCTGGCCGGTCGCCCGAACCTCACGATTCCTTGATCCGCCCTCCTCTCCTCCTCGATTGCCGCTAATCACCTCCCACCGCTGACACCGCCAGCTCAAACTCCGAGTCCAAGATACGGAAATCAAAATCGATAATCCCTCTCTGTAATGGTCTCAGGGACGATTAAGCTACTTCTTCTTCTGTTTATTGAATAGGTAGCGTAAACGAGATTTTCTTTCGGTGGTTCTGTTTTCATTTTCTTCTTGTTGGTCTAATTGTTGACTAATTTTCTTTTCCTTTTCTATTTCGGTCTTTTGCTTGATTTTTTTGGGTGAATTGTTCATTGCTTCCGATTTGGTCTTGTTCTGTGTCATTTATAGAAATCAAGCTTAAAGCATGGCGTCCAAGACTTGCATGAATGTACTGTGCGGGGCGTCGACGTCCATTGAGTGGAGAACAGGATGGACTCTGCGATCTGGAGATTTTGCTAATCTTTGTGATAAGTGCGGGTAATGGTCATTTCTCCTTTGTTTATTGAAACTATAAGTGTTTGATTTACAGTCAATGATCAAGCTTAAGGAATTGTTGCAGAAGCAGCTGGAAGTTTTGCTGTTTCAAATCTTACGGTACAAAGAATTAAATGATTATGATCATCGTCTGTGTTGATTAAGGCAAATAAAATTTATTGTTCGATCCTGAATTTGGTTATTGAATTCTCCTTAGGTTAATTACATTATAATTAATGATGGCCAAAAAATAAATAATAATGTAGAAGTTATTGAAGCTATTATCATTGGGCTGAGAAATGAGTTTCATATACTCTTTATGTCACTCAATTAGGCTGTGATTGGTTTTATTTTAACTCACAGAAAGTGTTTAAAGCAGGGGAATCCCAATCTGGCAGAGGTTTTTTACCCTGATGATCAGCTAAAAGAACTGCAATTTGCTTGTTTCTTTATATGCTTCTCTCCTTCATATATAATTTATCTTTTTCCTCAGAATAATATTTTTATTGTTTGGAAATTACTGTTGGCTTATTTGTGATTAGCTGCAAAAATACAAATTTGATGGGAATTGGGATACAAGGGAACCCTACCATGCTTTTGTTGTATGTAATTTTAATTCTGGATATATTTGTTCTAGGTCTGCATATGAACAATCAATATTTTGTGACATGTTCCACTCAAAAGATTCTGGTTGGAGGGAATGTACTTTATGCGGCAAGGTGCGTTAACATTCTAAACAGTAGGGATTACCTTATTTCTCACCTTCTCTCATTTGTTGCCATCCCCAGTTTTCTCATCCTGATATCCTGGTGAATAATCTCAATGCCTTTGATATTGTGCAGCATCTACATTGTGGATGTATTGCTTCCAGGTTTCTGCTTGAGCTTCTTGACAGTGGCGGTGTACACTGCATAAGCTGTGCAAATAAATCAGGACTTAACCCTGTAAGATAAATTTACCAGTACACATTACAACCCTTACTATATGAGTTTCTGCTACCTTCTATTGAATACTTGACCACTTGTTTTTTACATTTTTATGCTCATATTACATGATTTACATAACTGTTATAGAATGCTTGAAATTTAGATCTTGTAAAATTTGAGGCACTTAGATGCTTTTGAAAAATGTTCATACAGATGAATGAAGATGAAAAACCTGATGGATATGGAACTTTGAAGGCTCATAATGTGGGTGAATTGCAGTCCACATCTGTGGACAATCAGTTGAGTTGTCGAAGCTATGAAAAGATGAAGCTTATGCAGTTGACAAATAATGCAGAAAGTATTGGGCTGAGACACTTGCTTCAGCTTCAAATTGATGACCCAAGTACTTCTTCGGGGCCTATGAAACTGGAAAAAGTGTTGCCACCTGGAGAACCTCGGAACTCTTCCTTCTCAAACTTTAATCAAGTATCTAATGGATCAGCTTATGCTGTTAAACCTGACATTTCTAAAGCAACTGGATATGAATCTCTTTCACAGCCAAACTTGAGTATTTCCTTGGGCAGTCATTTTGGAAATGAAAATACCTTTACTGGTTCAGTTGTTGATGAAAAGGTTAAGGTGTCATCAATCTTGCAACAAGCACCTAAGTCTCGTCATCTTCTGCCCAAGCCTCCAAAAGCAGCCCTTGCAACTGGTTTGGAGGCAAATGCAGGAATATCTCAGATACGTCTTGCTAGGCCTCCCGCAGAAGGACGTGGGAGGAATCAGTTGCTTCCTCGTTATTGGCCAAGGATTACAGACCAAGAATTACAGCAAATTTCTGGGGAGTATCCTTTAATTTCTTGTCTTTGATTTAAAGTTACTGCTACTAATTTGAAAAATATTAGCTGACTAGTAAAAATACTAAGGTTATTATGCCTATCTCTTTACTCTTAAGCAGCAACGTCCTTAACCATGTAATCTTTAAGTTCAAATTGCACTATTGTTCCTTTGTTTGAGAAGGTTCTAAGTGCAAGTGATGCTGGTCGCATTGGTCGTTTGGTTCTTCCAAAAGCATGTGCTGAAGTGAGTTCTATTCCACTTATCCCACCTTTGCAACTTGTATTTCAATTATACACACACACACATTTGGTTGAAAAGCCTTGGTGTATATTAGTTTAAAAAATGAACTAAACTTGCAGGCATATTTTCCTTCTATATCTCAACCAGAGGGCCTTCCTCTAAGGATTCAAGATGTAAAGGGAAAGGAATGGGTGTTTCAGTTCAGATTTTGGCCTAATAATAACAGCAGGATGTATGTTTTAGAGGGTGTAACTCCTTGCATACAATCTATGCAGTTGCAAGCTGGAGACACTGGTATCCTTCAGAGCCTAATCATGAATCATTCAGTTTTTCTATTTTTGTCTACTGGAAAATGTAGTTTTCATTGAGGATCACCATTTCATTCTGTTCAATTGTCCTATTTTTACTTCTATTACAGTAACATTTAGTCGCATGGATCCAGAAGGCAAGCTTGTTATGGGTTTTCGTAAAGCAACAAACTCTGTCACATTGCAGGTAAAATCAGAGTCAGTTTTTATGCTTGTAAACCTGATCATATAACATTGATATATAATTATTAAATAAACAGGATACTCAACCGTCTGCTATTCCTAATGGCAATCTTTCAAGTGAAAGTTTCTTTTCGGGTGTTTTTGAGAACTTGCCTATAATAAGTGGTTACTCTGGCCTTCTTCAGTCACTTAAGGGAAGCACTGATCCCCACCTAAATGCAATATCCAAACATTTGAATCCAGCAAGTGGTGATATTGGCTGGCAGAAATCTGAGAAGCATGAGGACAGAACAAGGGAGGGCTTATTGCTGCAATCTATGCTGGCTCCTGAGAGGAAAAGAGCTCGAAACATTGGCTCCAAGAGTAAGCGATTGCATTTTGATAGCCTAGATGCTTTGGAGCTGAAACTTACTTGGGAAGAGGCTCAGGATTTGCTCCGTCCTCCCCTAACTATCAAGCCAAGTGTTGTCACAATTGAAGATCATGATTTTGAAGAATATGAAGTGAGTACTGCTAGAACTCTTGCTTCATTAAATGGCTTCTTAGCATATCTGTCTTCACCTAATGCACTTTCAGGCTTTGAACCTGCAATGATTTAATTAGGTTACTTATATTTTCAAGTTGATATTCTGTTTTTATTTTGAAAGGTTTGAAAAATAAACCAGGACCCTTTATGCTTTTTGAAAAGACACAATGACTCATTGTTATCAGTAAATAACTAATTTACATGAACTGTGCTATATTGCTGACGATAACAGTTGCTCTTGACATGCTTGTTACTCAGGAACCTCCTGTTTTTGGGAAGAGAAGCATCTTTGTGGTTCGTGGAACAGGGTGAGGTTTCAGGGTGGTTTTCTTCTTTTCTTCTCTTTCTTTTTTTTTTTTTTAATTATTTAATTTTATAATTTTACTTAATTAATTTATATATATATATACATATTATTTTAGTTTGAAAGTTCAAGCTATCTTGATCATCATAAGTATTGGGAGCTTTTGCCATGAGTACATAAAAGATCAACAGTCTGTAGAAACTGTTTGTGAAACCAATTATAATCCTCTCTAGCAATTTTTTTTTTTCATCGTCAGTCAAAGTGACAAGTCTTGATTGCCAAATTTACTTAATGATAAAAAATTTTCTCATTAGAATTATCTGGTTAATTCTTCATAACATTTTGGTGATAATATTATTACTTATGTGTCTTGGGGATCTTATCCGAACTTAGTTTTCCAAGTCTTAGGTTTTTTTTCACCTTCTTCCCAGTTAACTGTAAACAGTTCTAGTTATCTGGAAAAGGGAATGTGACTTCAAATTGAAACTGAGAGGACCAGCAGCATATGGAGCTGTAATTGTACTTTCTTTAAATAATTTAACAAGTTAGCTACAAAGACTTCTAGTAGCATTTTTTTCTTTTCTTTTGTTTAGTGATTTGGTGTCAATGAGGTCTTGGACTAATGGTAAAGGACATGTCAAAACCAAAGCTTCTAAGTTCAAGTTTATCCAGCCTGTATTATTGGATATCAAAAAAACGATAGCATAACCCCTTTTTCCCCCAACAGAAGTTTTATGTGAAAATTTACTAGCACATGGATTTTTGGCCTGCCTAGCATCCCGAAATGCCTTATATTTCTAAAACAAAGTGATCCTTCTCTTAATCCATCTCTTGCTTTGTTAAGATTATTAAAAGATTGGTTATGATTATTAAGGGACTTAAAACATTTTGGTTTCACATGCAAAAATATGACACCTTTAGGTTACAAGAGCAATGGGTTCAGTGTGATAGTTGCTCTAAATGGCGAAGGTTGCCTGCTGATGCTCTTCTTCCAGCTAAGTGGACATGCATGGAAAATACTTGGGATCAAAGCAGGTTAGGATTAATGTTTTATATCCCATTAGAAAATAAGTTCCCAAATAAAATTTGACATTTCCTGTTCTTTTGTGCCAACAGGTCTTCATGTTCTGCACCAGATGAACTTAATCCAAGGGAGCTGGAAAATATCCTTAGATTAAATAAAGGTACCCTACCTGCTTTATGTCTTGCATAAGTTTATGGAAGTGTTCCTCATTGTAATGCTTTCATGAATGGTTGGCTCTTGAACAAGCTTTCTTACCACATGCACAAAATTAAATGATGGTTTCTGCACCATGCTTGGGGTTGTGCATAACAAATCTGACTAAACCGTGCCTTGTTAGCCTGGTGTAGCTTTGAGGACTACTATTCTTTGACTCTAGGTCGCATAAAATAATCAATCAAACTCGCCTGCATGACATAAATCTAGACACTAGATTTCTATCTTAATTCTGCATATATTTTATTAACGGTTCAGCTTCTCAGGGTGCTGTCCAATGAATAGCGTTATAACTATTAAATCAATAATTATTATGCAGATTTTAAGAGAAGGAAAATAGCAGCATTCAGTAGGCAAATCCAGGATCATGAATCTTCAGGCCTTGATGCTCTGGCCAATGCTGCAATGCTTGGAGACAATGGGGATAACCCAACCACTACATCAGTGGCAACAACAACCAAGCACCCAAGGCATCGCCCTGGTTGCTCTTGCATTGTGTGCATCCAGCCACCAAGTGGAAAGGGCAAGCACAAGCCTACATGCACGTGTACTGTGTGCATGACAGTTAAACGGCGTTTTAAGACCCTCATGATGCGCAAGAAGAAGCGTCAGTCAGAGCATGAAGCGGAGATTGCTCAGAAGAGTCAGCAATCATGGGGCCCCAAAGACGAGGCAGAAGTTGACAGTAGCCATAAGCATGTATCTTCTCCCCATGATCCTTCCGAGAATGAAGCCAGACCAACTAATGAGTTAGAGCCTACGAGCCAAAACAACCAACCCCAGAGATTGGCTGAACTTGGCAAAGGACACATAGACTTGAATTGTGATCCTGGTCGTGAAGATGACACTCAGGTGGGATCAAACCGTGTGAGCATGATGAGTCTTCTTCGGGTAGCAAGTCTTCCTTTGGAGACATATCTGAAGGAGAATGGTCTTACAAGCTTGGTTTCTGACCAGCAAGCCAATTCAACATCCCATGCCCCACCACAAACTTCTGGGGAGAAAGAGACACCAGAGGATAACTGCCTTCCTTCTGCTGCTGAAGAGCGTGAGAGTACAGATGAAGAAAACTGTGAAACGGGAACGGATCAAAACGAGAATGATCCTTGATGAGTTTCATGCCTTCTTATTTAATTTTCCCGTTCTTTTCTTCCTCCGGTGTTGCTTTCCTTGTATATTTGACAAGGGTATAGGGGTTTTACTTCTTTAGAGGGTGGTTTTGCCTTTTTAATTGACATGTATATCATAAAATCATTTTTTTTATATACAGTGGTGGTGTATATTCATGGAGTTCGTTTTGAAAATGCCTTTTTTTTAATAGTCTACAAATGCTAAACTTTTTAAGAAAACAAAGTGAAAATCACGAACAGTTTAGAATGTTAGGATTGCATGTGAAATTAATCAAATGCCATAATTGAATCTTTCCATCGAAAGTATTTAAATTTTTTTATTATCTTTTTTTGATATTTTAATTGCTAAGATGTCAACCCCGCCTTTATTTTTATTGGTCTCCCCATATTTGTGTTTAATCCAATAAACTCTCTTAACCGTCTATATATTGATTTGCTGCAGTGATTCCGGAAAAGGAGGATTCAAACCTTTGAATTGGTTTCAGGTATCAATTTGTTCATTTTACCGTCTTGTACGTTTGGTACTTTGGTACTTGATAGCCCTCAATGTTTCTGCACTTCGATTTATTTCTTTTCCCATGTTGACTTGCAGCCTGCTTGAGGTGAGATCTATAGGACTATAGATGCGTGAAACAGAAGGCTTGCTTTCTTGGCTGTCAAAACTCAATAATACAGCCACTAAACTCTAGGGTTCCATGCTGAAAAGATTTAGACAAACTCAAATAGAATGATAGATATTAACATAATTTTGTATGAAGAAATTTTAGGTTGATGGAAACTAATTAATCATCAGACATATCTACAGAACAATATCATCTCTACATCTCATCATGTAGAAAGTAGAGAGACCAGAAGGTGGAACGACCACAACCTTATCTTCTATATCTTGTGTTGAATTTAAAGACGTAAAAAATGAAGGAAAAAAAAAAAAAAAGCACATTATCAACAATCAAAAACCTTCAACACTAGGCCTTCTAAAAGTTGTTGACGATGACGATCTCCTGCTTTCTTGCCTATCCAGTTCATCCAGTGAGAGGGTGGAGGAACAGGCACGTGGTGGCAGTGCCAGTGGCAAGGCAAGTGGTCTTCTAGTTGGTGAAACAGACGGTCGTGCTCTTGATGGTGGTGATGGTGAGAAGCTTAACCTGGGTGCAGGGGTAATGATGCCATTAAGACTAGGTGATCTTGACATCTGTTTTCCGGTAATTACTATTGGCTCTTGCAGAGGAAAGCGACTGGAATGTTTCATGTCTTGGATGATTTTGAGATTCTCAACAATAGTTCTCATGGTAGGTCTTTCTAACGGGTCTTTTTGCAGGCACTTTTTAGCAATGTCTGCCACTGAACTGGCTGCTTTCATGGGGAAGCGACCTTTCAGCCGAGGATCCATGATGAGTGACAATCGACAGTCATCAGCTAAGAAAGGGCGACTCCACTTGACCAAGTTCCTCTCTTCCTTGGGATATTGACTGTCAAGGTTTCTCCGTCCAGTAAGTAATTCAAGTAGAACAATTCCGAAACTCCAGACATTGCTTTTTGGAGTCAGCAATCCTCTCTCCAAAGTCTCCACTGAAAGATTAGCTGCAGCCTATACAATTAATAGGAAAGCAATCAACTCCCAAAAACTCAAAAACATCTTGATTACCTAGGCAACTAGACCAATAAATTCACTTGTTGAAATCTCATTATCACAAGGCACTTACAACTGAATTAGTGGATAAATCTGTCTCAGGAATATGTCCAACACAACCGTATCCGGAAAGTTTTGCACTAAAATCCTTATCAATCTGTATGTTAGCAGTTGTAAATTCGTTGTACATTGCCTGCATATGAAGATGTTTTCAGCAGTCATAAGAAAGATTGAGCTTAACCATAATTTTCAACGTGCATAAATAATGAGAAAAACAGTATGGAAATATAATCACACTTCTAAAATATACCTAACTCATGTGGTAAAAGGCAACCAAGGAAAATAGTCAGATTAACCATAGGGAACATCAACCATCTTTCATTAGTTACCTAATTCACGTAAAAATAGTGTGGGAGGCATGGAAAATTGTCTTAAAACATCCCGAAGGTCCGTCACACAAAACATAGCTTAATTATACATATTATGTCATCCCTGACAAATTCATGATGAAAGTATAATCCACATGGCTACAATATACTGCAATTATTTCAAAATATAAATGCAAATAACCAATCTGATTACCTGAAAAGGCCCTTCTTCATGCAAGAAAGTAAGACCCTGTGCAGCACACAAAGCAATCTTCATTCGAGTATTCCAATCAATTGGTGGTCCATCTGATCTCCCATACAAAAGCCGATCCAAGCTTCCATGAAAGAGCCTCTCATAGACCAACATTCTCTGTTCTGACCCATCACGTGCATGATAGCCAAGCAATTTACAGAGATTTGGATGTTGCAAGGACGCTAAAGTGTTTATCTCACTTATAAATTCCTTTAGCCCCTAGTGGAATACAGAAATAGTGAGGCTACATGGCATATTAATTGAATCATGGGATCAAACATGCATAAGAGGGACAGGGGGAGAGAAAATGTAAATATGCATGTTTAGGTGAATGCAGTTGCCAACTAAGGTGAACTCCCTCCATCCAATTCTGCCAATATTGGTAAATTCACCCACTATCTTTTTAGTACAGGCCCCAAGGATATTTTGGAATTCCAAATATAATAGTTTAGTAGTTTACACCTACAAACGAATAATTTTGGATTCCAAAAAGTGTATAATATTATCACACTCCTAGCACCTGCTTCACTACTGGGGGGCAAGGAGTACTTCTTCCATTCAGTAGTGTGTTGACTATGTCATACATCCAATTGTTACCTGGGTAGATGGATGAAGGCGAGTAACAGTGGCTTCAAACTTCTTTGAACTTGAAGCATTGTCTCCGAAGGAAGCCACATACATGACAGAAGAAAGACCCTCGGATGTGAATCGACCTGTAGAGAAATTATGGCAAGCAGCAGCAATTTCTTCATATAAGAAGTTCTTAAGTGTTCCAGTTGGAGGTAGTGGCAATGGTCCGGAAGCAAATAGAGGTCCGCTATTGTTCCCTGCTTTAAAGCTCGCTGTCATCTTCAGTGCACCAGCACCCTGGGGTGAAGGAAGTGGAAGTGGTTGTGGACTCGAGGACCGTGTTTCCTTCATTAATCCAACACGACTTTTAGATTCTACCTGTTCTTCAAATGCAACCGCTACAAGGGCATCTTGCTCTGCAGCATCAATAGTTGGTGGAGCAGATAATGCCCGCATCCTGGAACTGGTTGTTTTGTTATTTACTTGAATAGGTTTTTCTCTGGTCCTAAAACTCGGGGGAGCAGACTGCAGTGAGCGGGTCTTCACTTGGGGCTCAGGCAGCGTGGTGGGCTTATGCTCCTTATTACTCATCTGTTTACCATAAACCTTCTGTTCAGACTTTTTCTTCCTACTTTTCAAGCCTTTAAAACAACCCATCTTCACATAAAACTTGAAATTCTTATCGGGTCTTCTATACCTTTTCTGACTGTAGAAAAAAAGGAAAAGCACAAAGATCAAAAGAAGCTCAAACTCATGACTTAGGAGGTTGTAAAACAAGATATATAACAAATCAGTACAAAAAGAAAAAGTTTGTGGATCCAAGTATCATCTATCAGTCATCAGTTGAACATAATAGACAAGTTAAATTTGCTAAACCAAGAAAAAATTATAAGAAAAGCCTAGAAAACAACTATTTTCAAGGGGTCTTAATTGACAGAATCAATTAAGTTGTTTCTATAGGCCTTTCTTTCACTAATTAATCAAGACAAGTCATTTAGTCAAATAATTCAAGTGCATAGTAATCCAATAAAAAATTATCAAGTTAAGCGTAAATTTACTAACTAAATTAATGGCATTGCCAATGCAATTAACACTTGTGTAACTTAAATCTTGCAGAGCAAAGAAACAACTAACAAAACCACTGGCCCCGTGCAAATTGCAAACTTTTTCACATCATCAAAATGCCCAATTCAGAATATAGCAGTTGGGAAGTATTAAATTGAAAAAAAAAAAAAAAGAAAAAAAAAGGAAGAAGAAGAAGAAGAAGAAGAAAATTTAGCAAATTATGAACCACAAATGCATTAGTTTTCTTACAAGAAAAGACAATAATCCCAAGATCAGCACCACAGAAACAAGGCAGAAAATTCAACCCAGATCCAAAACAAATTCAAACTTCAAAAGCAAAAAATAAAAATAAAAACAATAAAAATAAAAATCAAACAAATAGCCAGCTGAAACTTCCTGAGTTCAAAATTAACACAAAAAGAACATCCCCATTTACACAATAAAACCAAATCAAGCAAAAAAAAAAAAAAAACCAACCCACTTTCAACAACCCATCAAGAACTGACCAAATTCCAAAAATCCCAAGAATTCCCATTATGTATATACCAAATGGTAATTCACCCAAAAATATAAAAAATCCTACCTTTTACATCAGCAGTTCATCCAAGCCAAAACAGAGTCGAATGGGAGATTTCAGAAGGGATGAAGCTGCAATCATGTGGGTAGATGAGGAAGAAGAAAAAGAAAAACCCTTTGGAAGTCAAAGAAAACAAATTGGAAAAAGCTTCGTTGAGTGAGGGAGGTTTTTTGAGAGAGAAAACATGGGACAATGAAGAGAGAGAAAGAGTCAGCAGGAGGAATGGGGGCCACACAATAAACAGTGGTCAAACGAACTAAAACTTTGATTTTAATTAAACAAATTAAAATTTCATCATTATTCAATATCTCAACCACAGAAAATTGATTTCTTATTTGCTTGGGACTCTTTTGCCCTCTGAATTTTTCCATTTTAGTTTACTATTGTCATCTAATCTCTCAACCACAGAAAATTGATATCTAACTTATATATATCTACAATACATATGTAACAACCATACTCCTCTTGATAATGAAAGATGAAGATTAAAGCACGTTTTTATAACCCAACAAAAGGGTTGCTGACAAATTAACTCTTTTAAATTTAAGTCAAGTATCTTAAATCTGAGTCATATCACGTGTAATTGAAATAAGTTAATAATTAAAAAAATAATCATATCATATTATACAGGTCAAATAAAAAAATAAAAAAAATATTTGATATAGAATTATTGTTGATAATGTGATTATGATCATTTATTAATTTATTAAGACAATATAAATTATATTTAATTTAATTAACAATTATAATTTTTTTAAAATAATTAATTATAATATTTAAAAATATTTATTTATAAATTAATTTTAACTTATTAAATAATAAATATAAGTCATGATATTAATTATTAATTATTTTTAATAATTAAATAAATTATTTTTAAAAAACTACATTTATTCAATTTATGTAATCTTATCAAATTAATAAATACCATAACCATGCCCATGGTTGATAATGGACATTTTGATAGTAGGCCGTCCCTACAAGGTGGTTAGATTGTAAAATCTAAAATATCCATGACCAAAATGGTCATATCGTGGGGAACCGCGATTTTCAAAGAAGAGCGCCTCGATTGAAAATGACAGGTCAGTCAAAAATTGGAAAATTTTGTTTTTTAAAGCATGTTTTGGGTAGTGGTCAAAGACCCTATGGAGACAGGTCTTTGACTCTCAATCCCTGACGTTAGATTTCGGTGTCACGAGATGATCGACGGCCATTATGTATTCGTCCAAAAGAAGTGGTGGGTCCCACTGACATCAATATTTTTGTCCGGTCGTGGTCCAAACACGCCCCTTCGTACGACATGTGAGAAACTTCCCATCATAAAGAAGGTAAAGCGGGTCCCACGAGGGCCCCGGTTTCGCGCTCTTTTACTGTTTATTTTTTTTGAAAAATATAAAATTTATAACAATAAATATATTTTTTTATAATTAAT